ACAATATCGAGGTTTGTTTTTTCACTAGTCAATATACTTATATCCTCAAATTTTATAATACTATATTTTTTCCAAGGTGATTGATTCAAAACTTTCACTGTTACACGAATCAACCAAAGCCATTTGAGGTTTATCCACTCTTAATGCCAAAGTACTTAGTAAAGTTTAATTATCTCAATTTATTTTAGTAGCTTCTGTCAAGGGTATACAGAGATATTTTTTTAAGAATTCATGCAAATAACTTAAACAACGCGACCTACTTACATTTGTAAAAAGTGTAGTAATGCCGGCTAAATAGAAACAAGAATTACCAATTTCACGTTATTCTTTAAAAAAACTGATTTATAAACAAAAATCACGCACAAAATTAATTAAACTTCACTTTCAAATTCACTTACACTAACACAGAGATGCACTTGTACATCTTTTCTTTCACAAAAAGAATAAAAATTGAAAAAGAATGAACATCAAACAATTTAATGGTTAGTTTTGAAATTGCAATAGCCCGCGCGGTGTCATGGCGTCGCTCGCGCCTGCGCACAAAGTGGCCGAATGCGTTAACAAGACAACGCAACTGTGATGCTGTAAGAGAGAAAGTTGAGACAGGGCCGTTGCAAGACCGCCAATGTATGATGCGCGTTGGCTTTTATTAATTATTGCGAGATGGGTGTAGGTGTGAAGTGGTTTGTTGCAAGAATCGTACAGAAGGAAAAACAAACAATTTTCATATTTATCTACGGAAACAACACATTATATAATCTCATTAAATCTGATTAACACAAATTACAGTCCAAATCCATTCATACACGTACCTAGACTTATTGCTTCCGTACGTAAATATACCATATATTTTATGTAACATTTACGAAGTAGAATTACCTAGTCTCCTCCTCACTCCTTATATCATACTTAAAATTCGACATTTGTAGCAAAATTGAAGTGTTACATATCTGCGGTCTTTTTATATCTTATTTAGTTTCAGTTTTATTGTCAGTCAGCGTAACTGACATTTTTCGAAGAAAATAAACAAGATGCCAATATCGCAAAAGTTACCAAAATACAAATGCGTTAGTTACACGTTTCTCAAATATTTCATTTATACAGTTCAACATTATGGATTTGTATTTTAATATTCAAGTATCAAGCTGCCTAAGTCACGGGTTGTTGATCAATCCCTTTAAAACAATGTCACACACGCCCCTGAATGGAGCTCTGTGTTTTCTTAGGTCCATTTCATTACATCATGACCGCAAAGGTCCGGCCGTCGTCATCTTAACCCACATTCGTGTTTAATTTACTCTATTTACACTGCACAATTTTACGCAAAAAAAATTAGTAGAATCTATAATACAAAACGTGACTATACGTCCCGCTTTGAGCAGGACAGTCCCGCTTTTAAGTTTCGTGTCCCGCTGTCCCCAAAATACCGCTATGATTAAATAGGACATAGGTGCGTGACAATAAATTTAAAAAAAAATGGCGCAATAGCGAATATTATATAAAGCCAGACTTCACAAAATTAGTTCTTTTTTCAGTTTTTGATCATTTACAGTTCTTTTTTATAGAAACATGTCATAACTATTATATAAACATGTGTTTTATTCTTAAAACCATAATAAATATACAGGCGTCCCGCTCTGAGGGAGAAAAATACTGGTCACGTTAATAATACACGTACCCCTTTACGTCATATTTCCTACAGTGATAGACAGAATGGATAAGGATTAACACTTTTTTTACTAAAAGCGTACAAGGACTTTAAAATCTTAGTCCATTCTATAAGTACCTAATGAGCAGGTGTGCTAAATTCACTTTCTGAATTCTATTTTCGAACATATTTCTTTACATACTACGGTAGACGACCTCGGTAGCCTAATGGTTTACATTGTGGGCGCGGGATGCAGAGGTCCTAGAAGGTAGCAGGAAGTGCCCAAGAAGAAGAAGGCGCATATTATTATAATTATCATATTACGAGGTTTTTTTAATTGCGTTTTAGAACAGAGTTTCTTTATTTCACCCATATGAAATATTATTGGTAATTTAGTCTTAAAATCCTAAAATACTAAGGGTCGTATTCCAGAACTCTACTCAATGCTCAAGTCAGGACTTCAGTATGATTTCAAGCACTGAAAATACGACCCTAATAGCAAGGACTTGAGTATGATTTCTAGTGCTTTAAATCATACTCAAGTCCTGACTTGAGCATTGAGTAGAGTTCTGGAATATGACCCTACGTGTACTCGTATATACCGTTCTCGCTAAATCAGCATTATAGTGCAATATATGTAGAGTGTAGAGCTCCTTGTGAAAGAGTTCGTCCAAGGAAATACTGCCACCTTATCTACTTCTGCCACCAAGCAGCAATGTGAGCATTGCTGCGTTCCGATTTTGGGACTTGTCACCTTATGTCTCACTGTGACAGACGCAGTGGCAGTGCCTCTCAGATCTTTACAATTTAAAGCTGTCTTTTATATATACAAAATAAGCACGCATTTGACCTCTATCTCACCTGATTGAAAGTGACGATGAGGGCGACGATGTGGCATGCACACATAAATAATACCTATTCACTCTCGCCTGTAAAAGGTCCAAGTTATAGCGTTTGGGGAATAAGTCTGCAGGTAGGGAATTCCACTCCTTAGCCGCTTTCGTGCGAATCCTGGGATATCCACAACATAGGGGTGGAACCCCAGCCCGTCTAATCCCCCGATGATGGAAAGGGGAAGGCGGAATTAAATTATGCAATTCATAAAGGCAAAGCTCTAAGTGGCAATTGAACAGCGTGAATATACCTATACATACTTATAAATATAAATAAATAATAATAACACTTTCTTTGTGCTATTGCTCCAAATTAATAATCTAAATGACCTCTGTACCATTTTCAGTAGTAGTACAGCTCCTTGTGAAAGAGTTCGTCCAGGGAAGTATACTGCCGCGTTACCTATTCCTGCCACCAATAATGCGTTCCGGTTTTGAAGGGTTCTGGTGGTGGTGAAATTACAGGCACATGGGTCTCAGGGTGACAGGCGCAATGTCAGTGCTTCTCAGATCTTTGCGATTTAAAGCTCTGAATGACACTACAGCTCTGAATGTCGCTTACCACCAGGCGCACGACTTGTTCGTCCCGTCACTTGGTATTACAAAATAAAAATTATACCGTAGTACGAAACCTGTAATTACTAAATTACATGCCTACTTATCACAATGAACACTTTTCTTACTACAATAATGAATAGAGCCGTCACGTAGGCTCCCGGGCAATGAATATTACCAGATTACTCAATAATTGCTATTACATCGTAAAGCTGACTGTCACTCACGTTCTTTGGTGTATTTGTAGCTTCGGCATTTAATGAAGCAAGAGCACAAAGAAAGTCAGTTTAATTCAAATCATTTGGCATTGATCTGACAGGAAAGTATTATTTACTTAAGAAAAAACAAATACTTGACTATTTAAGTATGTATAGGTATATTCAAGCTGTTCAATTGCCACTTAGAGCTTTGCCTTTATGAATTGCATCATATAATTCCGCCTTCCCCTTTCCGTCATCGGGGGATTAGACGGGCTGGGGTTCCACCCCTATGTTGTGGATATTCCCCGGATTCGCTCGAAGCGTTTCGCTTCCACATTTATATGGCGAGCGGCTAAAAAGTGGAATTCCCTACCTGCGGACTTATTTCCCAAACGCTATAACTTGGGCCCTTTAAAGACGAGAGTGAATACGTATTATTTAGGTGTGCATGCCACATATAAAAGTATATATACATATATACTTATATACATAAATATATATATATATACATATATATATATATATATACTTATTTACTTTAACAATTAAGATAATATGCAGTAATCGGTTTGTTCTTTTTAAACCGTTTCGTGACACTGATTTTCTGTCTGATGAAGTTTTTGGTAAATCGTTTTTTCTAATAATTACAACGCGTAAGATTTATCCTTTTGTGAAGCATATCACGTAAATAATAAACCAAATTCTGTTCCATTACCTTTAAAGTGATGACTGACTCCGACATTCATTTTTTTTTCTCATTCTTTTTCAGCCATTACTGTCCCACCGCAGGGCAAAGGCCTCCTTTCCTTTTTTCCACTCTTCGCGATTCAACGCCGCTACAGGCCAAAACCTCATATACACGTCCAACTCAATCGACGATTTCAATCGCTTCACATACAACTCTTGAGTAAAAAAGGGACGATCGGTGGAGAGAACCTCTAACGATTCGTCAAAGACCAAGTTTTAGCACCGTAAATAAGAACGGGAAGAATGCGCACGTCCATGAGCTTTCTTTTGAGGGATAGTGATAATTTTCCTTTCATCAGGTCTTTCATTGCCCAAAAACTTCTCCAGGCATTTTCCATGCATCGGGCAACCTCTTTTACTTGTCTTGCCTATTTGAGTGAGCCTGTTTGTCCAAGATGAGTGAAATCCTGGACATACTCAACCCGCATACTTCCCGCACTCAATCGGTGTTGCATGCTGTTAGTCATAATCTTGGTCTTTGACATATTCATCCTTAGACCGACGTAACCAACTTAACAACGCAAGGCTCGGGAGGCTTGCGTCGTTAAGTTGGTTGATCATTTCACCAAGCTCTTCCGCAGCAGAAGAGGAGAATAACCGATGTGGTCGGGGAAACGAAGATTAGTTAGTATTTTATCTCCGACCACAAAGTTCAGATTATTTTCTGAACTTAGACAAATACACGTGTCAATAGACGCCACTGTATATTACAAACTAGTTTATAAATTAACGCTTGCTAGTATGGTCAGATGGCGCTAATCCAAACAAAGCGGAAGGCAGTATCCATAAAAATCTGTGCAATAAGCGCCATCTAGTTGATTTGTTTGTTATCAGTAGAAATCAAAGTAGCTTTTATAAATAATTTGTAGTTCATATTTACAAATTACTTACAAAAATAGCTCCCTATTTGGTACTCGTTGCGACATCTGGTGTACCATTAAGAACTAAACACTCAACTACGCTGTCTTGTACCGCGATTGACAGCCTCTTGAATTATTGGGCCTTGTTTATACTGTATACCTATATACATGTGCTTTTATACCTATATGAGCACGTTTGGTGTATTGACACCCATCGAGTATATAACCTGAAATAGAGACGAAGTAAGGACCATCCATTCCTGGCAGCTCATCAGGAAAATGGGCCTTAAATCACGTTTAAATATCAACTCTCGTTTGCTCTGAAATCACAAAGTAGAAAACTGAAGTAGTACAGCGCCAGCAACTGACCTGTGTGTACGTCTCCGTATATTCCAAAAATATTCTGTATTTATTGTAATAAAGATAATATCTCTAACAATGGGGACGGTTCCATTCGGTAGTGTGTGAAAAACGACAAAATATCTAATTACAAACATTACCCGTCAATTGTTTCGGATTCGGAGCGCAGATGTCACCGTAATAATTTGGCAGAATAGTTTTCAAACAAATTAAATGACATTTCGTCTCTATGTCTGGTTATATAGTCGATCACTGATACCACAGCTGCTGGAGTAAGAATGACTGTGCAGTAAGCATACTATAGGTACATATGTAGTATATAATAATAATATACATAGATAGCACAACATAATAAAAAAACACAACTTTATTGGATTCAATAAATCTTTATTAACAACTTAGACAATGTTCACAACTGTTTATGGTCATCTTTATCTACATATACAGGTATTTATTCTGCAACAAAATTTCTGCAGTTCTGTTCTATGACGGTGCCCGTCTTAAAGATCAAGACCCGTAATAGAGTTGATCCAATCCACGTCAGGTCGGATGTATTCTGAGGAGAGATAATTTAATGTATTCTTGGGCACATGTGGTTCTAAACGATTATTAGGATAAGTTTTATCAACATTTGTCACTGTGTTGGTAATTTAAATAATAACAATAATTACTTTTATTTAAGACATTGACTGACGTAAAACGTGAGATTGTTGGAAAAATTCGTTGAATTTTAATCAATTAGTGATGTCCTAAGGCGTTTCCAATTCGATTTTTTATAACAATCGATTTAATTTATGAAGAATATTTAATAATAAAAAAAGAAGATATTTTCTGATTGGGATCGTGAAGTTACGTTTGACAATTTGTGTACTCAAAAATTAATAATTAATGTTAATGAGGATTCAAGTGATGATTCCCGTTCATATGGAGAAGAATCCGACGATTCATTACAGTAAACAATAAGAATTTATTATAATTATTTATAATTTATTTCATTTCATTATAATTTATTAGACAGGTAACATTTATCAACTTGAATAATTTTCGTTACATAATCTGTTGACTCGATAAATATCGGAGCTAGAGAGCACGTCACTTGACTAAAATTAAAAAATAAAAGAGTCCAGGAAGTATTGCATTTTTTATCTATGGATGCATGACAATAATTACGGAACTTCGGAGGCATACATATGTCAAAAGTGAAATAAATGGTTGAACGGAGTACAAGTACAAAAAGAAAACAAAAAGAAAAAAGGTACTTACTGCCAGAAATGTAGTTCCCTGCCGTCGGCGCAACCATGTACGCGATTTGGACGCCGTCACTCACGAGAGGAGTGCCAAGATCGAACTGTAACATTTGCTTATATTTATCGATGCGTTCGCTGTTTTCTGGTTCTCTTTAATAAAGTATATACTGCTATATATTTATTTTATTGATTATCATGATTTTTTTGTGAAAATACTGTACTAGTTTGGTGATGACGTTGGAAGTGACGGGACGAAGAACTCATGAGCCTGGTGGTAAGCGACATGTCTGTCCATAGGAGTTGCAGTGCCACTCAGAGCTTTAGATCACAAACATTCGAGGGTCACTGCCATTGCGCCCGTTACCCTGAGACACAAGTTGACAAGTCCCATAAGTGCCTGTAATTTTACCAGCACCCTTACCCTTCAAAACTGGAACGCAATAATAATGCTCACGGTACTGCTTGCCGGCAGAAATACAGGGGCAGTACTTCAAGAACTCTTTCATAAGAAGCTCTACTGCTACTTAAAAATAAATACAGATATGATCCAACAAACACAAAGAAAAACTTCTATCCGGCTGGATTTTTCGAAGGAAGAATATCGAATGAATTTTTCTATGTCCGTGTATGTTATTCGATCTTTGTATCAAGTGAAGTATTTTTCCAAAACGAGAACATCATGGTTGTAAAAACATCATTATATTCAACAAAATAAATATTGAAATTAATAAAGCGACATCTCTTGTCAGAAGTTGGTAGCTGTAAAGGTACCTGGGTAAAGAAAAACTTTCATAGGTTTCTCACAGGTTACGCTACAGCAAAAATCCGTTTCGACCCAAAAACAAAACGTCGGTGTTTTGCAAAAAGGGCTAAATTTAAACTTAATTTAAATCCGAATTGAATTTTAAAACAGGACATAAATATTTTAAGATAGTTGTTAAAACCGTGAAAAATTTTGCAAATTGGCGCTTTCGCCCTTTCTGAAAACACCGATGAAATATCGACAACAAGCACTTAAAGAAAATCGCAAAGTCTGCTGATTCGTTCGGTAGCCCAGTTGGGAGAGCGGTAGCTCCATGTGAGCATTATTGTGTTTCGATTTTGACGGGTAAGGGTGCTGGTGAAATTACAGGCACATTCAACTTGTCAACTGATGTCTCAGGGTGATGGAGACAGTGGCAATGCCCCTTAGTACTTTGTAATGTAAAGCTCCCATTTGGCACTGCAACTGTTATGGACAGGCGTATCGCTTATCACGTTCGTACCGTCACTAAGCATCATAAAAAAAGGTAACTACTTTAATTATAAGTGCTAATAAATCGAAATGTTTAAAACACCACCAAATATTTATCAGAGATTTTAAACCTTTGGTTTAAGTTTGGTTTAAGTTCGAACTTAACATTGTTTTAAGGCGTAACGATACTCACTCTACTAGCCGCGATATTGCCATGGGCTACAATACCCTCCTCCTCCTCCTCATAGACATTGACTTCGTTGCATTGCAGCTGTTCGCCAGGTACTGAAATTGACATGATCAAACTTGAACTTTGAAAGTAACGAAACCCCAACCAAGGACACTCTATACAACGGTAGAAACTTATTTACCTACTACTACTACATGTGCGTGAAGTAGTACGGCTTAGGGATGGGTATCGACATCGATTATTGACATTGATATTTTTTTGACAAAACAATAATTAAAAAATCGATTATTGACAAAACATAAATATTTTAATTGGTCGCATTACTTCATATACTTGTTGGTGCATTTTTTAGCTGTGTAAGTCAAATTTTATAACGTCACTTTCATCTCTTACGGTTTACAAACCCCGTTTCTTTGTTTACCTGGTTTCTAAAGTAAAAAAAACTAACTAGGTATAGAGAGAGCTATTAAGTCTAAGCTAATAGTACCAAGGTTTCTGGAATAACCTGGAAAACACAGGTGGCGGCTCTGGCAGTATGCATAGGAAACTCGTAACATAACCCTTATTTCCCGCCTTATTTCAAATTACACAAATTACAATAATATAATAGAAAAATATTATTAGATAAAATAGAAAAATTATAATAGAAAATCGACAAAATGAACATATGGATTTAAAAGCGGTTGTTTTTTTCCTAATTTTAACATTTTTATAAAATATTTTATATACTTTTATTTTTTTAGCAAAAATCAGTATGAAATCATCGATTATCCGATTAATTGAACCAGATGACATCGATTAAAAAACATCGATCATTCCGATTAATCGACACCCATCCCTAATACGGCTATCTACTACTTCCCTCGATTACTTATTCTCGCGTAAGAGCAAATTAATGTAATTTATATGTGATTAATACGATCATTACGTATAAGTACAAGTATTAATGATTTTATTTATTAAATACTAAAACAACAGTAAATTGTACCAGTTATAATATTTTCTTTCAAGAGTTTAAAACGATAAAAATCTCTAAGACTGGTTTCACAGCTGTGCGCACGGTTGGTACGGACTGTCCGCTTGCGGGCCATCCGCATGCGTAGAATCCGCAGTGCACTGAATCGAGTATTCACCGAAGACAGATGCCTATAATAAACGCACGGCTCGTACGGAGGTTAAGCAGAGCGTGTTCCATACGGAGCATTTCGCGTCACTGTAAAACTATGTTGTATCGCCACACATGCTACTTCGCTACGGTGCTCCACGCGGACGGTCCGGAGATAAATCCGCACTGCTCTGAAACCAGCCTAAATAATCAGTTTTGAAATCGTATTATATTGAAAATTCGAAATTTAAACGTATTTTGATGTTTAAATTTCGAATTGTCCTTAGTGAACGTCTCGCTTACAACCTTGTTGCCGTTCCACCAATTTGACCATCATTATAGGGGCGCGGTGAGGTATCTAAAGCTACGGGAGTTTCTCGTTATACTTACTTATTCTTCGACGAAACCTTTACATTAATCTCATGTATTTATAAATCACGTATCAAAAGAGGAGAGTAATAAATTTGAAGCCTATTAAGGATGTTAGAATGAAATCCAGTTTTCTCTGTTTTCGAAAACAGTAGTCGTAAAAAATTAAATGTACGGCGAATAATGGTAAGCGAATAAGTTACCTTATTAGGTAAGTAACAAACTTGCAATGTAAGAATGAACAATGAAGAAGTTGGTAAGACTATGTCTTATTAAAACGGAATGATGTAGTTATGCAACGATTGCAAAAAATACTATTTTGGAGTTCACTCTTTTGGGTTCTTTTTTGTTTATATTTTTGTTCAAGTTTTATGTTAAGGAACATTTGTCTCATTCATCATTTAAAAGGATTGTCTATAATGCTCGCCGGCCGCTCTTGACATTTCATTCTTCAAAGTTAATTGAAATAACCTTGTAGACGTTAATTTAACAATAGAATTCATTATATGTATTTAATCATAAGAAAGTAATTATTATTATTCGTAGGGTCATGATTTTCAAGTCTTGCAGTTTGTATAGTAAAATTACGAGTTTTTGAGTCCAATTTATTTCGAAACAACATAGTTTAACGCAAAAACAAGAAACCACTACCCCTGATATTTAGTATCTGGACTACATAATAATATCTACTAAATATCATTGTTTTTGATAGCTCACCATGTCAAAACACATTCAATAAGGTTGTGTTTCTAGTTTGACACTATTGGTTTCTGATTAAGCCGGATTCACATTTGTCTGAGGTGTCGTGACGTGACCATCACAACGGTATCTGTTTCATACATTTAATATGGTTGTGAAATATATGGTATATGAAAGCGATTTGAGCAGCAAGTATCTAGAAATACGCATCGAGTAGCTATACCCCTGAAACTTTGTTTTTGCAGCTGTCACAATGATACTTACAATAGCTACATAGTGGTATTTACATAATCTCGCAAATCTACACATTTCTAGGTTCTTTGTCATCAATTTGTAGAATTTTGGTTTAAATATACCATTGATTTGAAATATAATGTTCCCTTTTTGTAGTCAAGTAAAGAGAAACCCGAAAATTAGTACGTAGCCATAATGGTACGCCATTTCAACTTTTCGATGTCCTGGCCAGGAAAGTAGAAGTCTGTGCGTAAAAAAAGTTTTTGCAGGGAAATAAAGTTTGTTCATGTTTTTATATTAGAGTCGATCAGAGAATGAACCCAGAAACAAAAGTCTTGTTACGTGATTAGTTAATACTCACCATCCTCACCATCGTCATCCTCGCCCCAGATGCAGAGAATAGTAGACTCAGGAACTTCAGCGTCTCTGGACAAAGCCACTGGAGCGATGGTATCTGCAAACAAATGTAACGCTTAGCATATCCTTCATACAATATTGGTCATTTTTAATTTGTTAAAAGTGACCGCCGAAATACAAACTCAGTCTTGCCAACACCCCGTACTGAAATGTATCGAAGTAGCCTAGAATTACGCTAAAAACAATAGAAAAAGCCCACAATTTGTAAAACCCAAATTGCCACTAAATCAAAAATGCTATTACTCGGTTAATTAATATTTTGGAGATAACTCCCTTAAGTAATAAATTAATAATAATATAAATTTACTTCTCTCATGTACGTACCTACTTACTTGTAATCAAATTGTATGTATGTACTAAAAGCACCGACCTCAAAAGTCATTCGTCTCCTATTTTTTCACCCCTAGCGGTGTACCCTCGTAGCACGTAGTACCCTCTTTCCAACAAAAAAAGAATCATCAAAATCGGTTCACAAAGCCGGAGTTATCGCGTAACATACATACAAAAAAAACATACAGTCGAATTGAGGACCTTCTCCTTTTTTTTGAAGTCGGTTAAAATTATTATTTGTTTTACCATTACTGGGTGCATGTAGTATTTGAAATGTATACCTGTGTACCAATGCAAATGAATCAATAAAACATGTAGTAATTTCACCAGCACCCTTAACCCTTCAAGATAGGAACGCAGTAATGCTCACATACTGCTTGGCGGCAGAAATACGTGGCAACGTGGATGCACTTCCCTGGGCGAACTCTTTGACAAGGAGTTCTACACTATTAAAGGTAGAATACTGCGATGAACACCTTAATATGTTTGCAACCAAAATAATAATGTAACAAGCCTATGCCACGAGCGGAGTGTAGGCATGCGCCGAAAAGACGGGTGTTGCCCTAGTTGTTTTATTAAAAATCTTATGTCGTGACAGAACCTGATTGTCGTAGACAATCCTTGTAATGCTGACTATTGCTAAAACCTTCTAGCATAATTGGGCGATACAGACTGTTATTAGAAAGACACCGACAACCCTCCCAACTGTGTCGCGAGGCTCTGCAGATTATTATAATAAGCACAAGGTTAGCGACATATTTTGGCAGCCGCTACACAATCTTCGTAATAGTATTATTAATAATATTATATGAAACCTTAATTTTTTTTAACCGACTTTAAAAAAAGGAAGAAACTAACTAACGACTTTTCAATTCGACTGCATTTCTTTGTACTGATTTTGATGATTCTTTTTTTGTTAGAAAGAAGGTACCTCAGTATTGTTCAAATTTAATTTGAAGAAAATAGTCCATCTTTAACAATTTCAATAAAACTTGGCAAATAGATGTAATCCCCTATCTAGTTTGATATTGTCCGTGACTCTTGTTCACTTGTATTTAATGTTTTTGTTTGATATACTTTTTTAAATTTAAGTTGCTATTTTTACATTCAACTTAATTAACATTTACTTTGTGTATCAAGCTGTATTCACTCTTAGGTAGTTGTGCAATTTAAATAAAAATTCACCAGATTTAATGTTTAGTATATTACATTGTACTAACTGTAAGTGAACCAATAAACAAAAAAAAAACTTCCTTAATTAATTCGACATCGACTTCTGTACATCGTTTTTAGAATTTGTCCAAGCCAACAGGTGAAGAGATCTTTTTACAATGCCAAATTTTCAAAAGTTTTGCGGTTTATTCCCTTTCGGCCTAAAACTGGTTTAATATCAAGTGAATAAAAATACGCAGCCAAACTTTAGGTACTACCAAAAAACCTCCACCAATAGAAAAGTATTTGTTTTAATGGAACAACTGTTTTTCTTCAAGTTGGTTCCATAATTTCAGTGGATTTTATTAAGGCTTGAAGCAACGAAGGAAGTAATTATTAATTATTCATTTGTTTGTGAACGCACAGGTTAACACACATTAAATAAATATTAATATTGGATACGATCACATACGTTACTATGATCCCAAAGCATGGCCTACATTTATTTCTCTCGTAAGTTTGGGTGTAATTTGTGGTTGTCTATGTGTGTGTCCATGGCAACCGCGATACAAGTTTTCCCTAGTGCGCTATGAGTGTGTGCCACAGACCACATAGTGGTGTGTGCTTTAAAAAAATCAGATTGGAGTCACAACCATGTCACAACTTCAAAATAGCAGTTTGGATGGAATCGGCACAAATGCAATAATGTTCCGACGGTATCCCAAGTGGTATACAATTACTAAGTCAAAAGTGTAATAAACATCTGACTCATTACATCTTAAGGTCAATCACCGGCGGGGAAGCAGGAAAAACTGATTGCTAGATCAAATTGTTCAAGTATTTACAATTAATATTTATAGTGGACTTTTTCGATAATTGTATTCTAATTAGTTTAAAGTGCAAACTAATTAGAATGTGCTAATGTTTGCACGACGGGATGTTACTTTAGCCGATCCATTGACTTACAAATAAATGGACGACGGGTCTAATACAAAAACCACGAAAAAAATGTCCCAAGTCAACCTATTTAAAGGCAGTGACATGTAAAGGAATATGAAAAAGCTAAAACGTTGAATTTAAATTGTAATGTCATCGCAGTACTGTCTAATTTTGCTTGCTTCGCTGTCAGTCGAACAAACGAAGACTAAAGCGTGAATGACGTATACGATTTTAACGCCCTATAAGTTCGGACACTTTTTAGCGCGGACCCGACGTCCATTATTGTAAGTCAATGTTTATAGTGGACTTTTTCGATAATTGTATTCTAATTAGATTAAAGTACAAACTAATTAGAATGTGCTAATGTTTGCACGACGGGATGTTACTTTTGCCGATCATATAAAATCCTGAAAACAGGATAAAATAAAAATCTAACTTAAAAGTCGAATGATTTAAGAATAAAAATAATATCTAACTTAGGAAATGAAACTATTTTTCCGGATTTAAATCGCGTATATTTGTTTTTTCAAACAAACCGACGTTTCGGGCTCTTTACAGGTCACATGGTCACGGTTGACTGACCATGGTTGGATATCTTACTTTGTAAATAACTTTTATATAGACATATTTCTCCTTGAGTTCTTCAGAGAACCTAAATATAAGTACTAAAGCACTATTAGTTATTAAATTCACATTAATCCTACAATTTGCAAATTGCCCAACGGTAAAACGACACGCTGCGCCGTCAGTCGCACTCGGGCACTTGTCGACGTCGGATCAGTGTCTATCGCCTTAATAGTAACTTACCAGTACTCTCCACAAATCTGTTGACGCTAACAAGGCCAATGTTGTTGGCGCCAGTGTTAGCGTTGAAGTTGGGGTGGACGCGGAATGTGTTAGACTCCGTCACTAACTCGGGGTTGATCACGTTGACGGCGTTATAGCGGATCCAGACAAACCGAGCGCTGTGGATGGAAAAGTCGATTATTGACATTATGTTTTTCAAAAAGAGAGGTGCTACCCCAAAGGATGAAAACTGTAAACGTTCATTTCTCTGCCACGGATGGCATTAGAGTTAAGTCTTAAAGTTTGTAATTATTTAGTTAGTATGTACTTGTTTGTTGTTGAATGGAAGCCTGGTGATCTGTAATACAGATAACCTATCACGGGCACAAGTCTCTCACAAACCAGCATGCCCGACTATGTTTTCATCTATAAGTCCTTCTACCTCTAAGCCTGTTTTTGTGATGAGAAAGAACAAAACAATGTTTCATTTTAAAACAATACTGGACAGTAACAGCGTTTAGCGTAAAATTAAATGGTAGAAGATGATAGTACGGGGTACCCCGTTTGGTTATATGTATCTCAAAAAACCAACTACGGGCTTTACTTCTACTTCTACGCGAGTTCCAAGTGCTTTCTGTGTAATGGCCGCCTACTGTTTTCCACAAAGAAAGTATCAACAACGTACTGACAAAATTCAATGGTTTACATACATTGAACATTTTATATTGAATCAAAATAATAAAAAAAAAAAGAACCATCCAGTATATAACCAGAAATAGACGCGAAATAAGGGTCAACCATCCCTGGCAACACATCAGGCAAATGGGCCTTATATCACTTTTAAATATCAACTCTCGTTTGCGCGGAAATCACAAATTAGAAAGCTGAAATAACACAGCAACCACACTGACCTGTGTGTACGTCTCTGTATATTCCAAAAATATTCTGTATTTATTGTAATAAAGGTAATATCTCTAACAATGGGGGGCTGTTCCATTCGGTGGTGTGGGAAAAACAGAAAAACATCTAATTACAAAACAAACGGAACCACATTTCATCGGTAATTAAATTTTAAATTAGTAATTTTGCAATTTTCGTCCATTATGGCAAACTCGACATCGACACCCGTCAATTGTTTCGAATTCGGGCTGGCCAATCGGAGCGTAGTTGTAATGATATGGCAGAATAGTTTTCAAACAATTTAAATTACTTTTAGTCTCTATTTGTGGTTATATACTCGATGGCAAGAACTGACATTTTTGTGTGGAGTATTATATACGTATTGTACATGAAAGGGACATGTACCGCCCACTTCTCGAATCAATCGAGAACGATTAGTGGGCTACCGCTGCTCCTATGTATTAACGTGGTTTAATGAATCCAGTATTTTATTTGCGCAAATACAAAAATACAATATTATGTTTCAGCTTGGTGATTGATTGTTTTGGGCTTGGGTCGGTTGGTTATGATTTGGTCATATGGAATGGGTGGATATTATTAGAATAACGATATTTGTAGAGTGAACGGAGGGAGATTACCTTATCTATTTCTGCCGCCAAGCAGTAATGTCAACAGTGTTCCGATTTTGAAAGGTAAGGGTGCTGGAGAAATTACAGGCACATGAGACTTGTCAACTTATGTCTCAGGGCGACGGGCACATTGGCAGTGCCCCTAAGATTTTTACGATTTAAAGCTCTGAGTGGCACTGCAGTTGCTATGGCTAGGCGTGTCGAATTACTATCAAGCGCACGACTTGTTCATCCCGTCACTCGATATTGTAAAAAAAGAGATGTGGGGAATTTGTTGATCAGCCAACACATTAGCCTTTTAAGTACACTGCTAAGGAACTTATGTTCTTTACCGCCCTTAGAGGTAGAGTATTTTCTTCAAACTTGTATGGAACTACTTTTGAGGTACCCCATTTCCAACAAAAATCGAAATCGGTTCACAAAATTTTTGCTTTTAAAATTTGATTAAAAAAGAAACCCTAATCAGAACGTTGCGCTCTTTATGACCCACTGTTAGGTGTGGTCCTCGTAGGAGACCTTCGATCAGAAGTGATATTGAAGCTTTTGAAACGAGTATCGCTTCTGCTGTTTCCCCTTAAATTTTGTCTTAAGCTGTAATGAACAACTTTAGTCATGTAGCGGCAATTTTCAAGAATCACTTAACTGTTGAAAAGTCACTTAACACTTTACAGTTGAAATTGTTTACGGCTGTTAAGTTGCGCCTAGTTTCAAAGGAGCTGCGCAACCAAGTTGCCGAAGTAATATCTTAATGAAATCCATTGTGCACTTCGAAGTGCGACTTCGACGACGTAATACGATTTGTCTTCATTACTTGCTTGTTGTTTTGTAACTATAAATAAGGAATTTAACACGAGAATTTTATTTTGTATTAACTATAATTAATCCAATTATATATCCAAAAGAATTTCATA